CTTCTTAAGAAAAGACACAAAGTCCATGACTTAGATATTAAATGATAGTCTGATAAAGAGGATGATATTTCATTTCATTTTTGTATTTAATGTTTAATTAAAAAGAGTTAGATTCAGCAAAGACATTTTGCTTTATTATAGTTTCAGGTATGAACACCTACATAAAATAGAATTGTGTTGAATCATTTCTGAGAATGTGATACTTGTTCTTGTAATTCTGAGAAAAAATTATAAATATTCTAGTAGCCTAATATTCATAAATCTGATTAATGTTTTAGTCCTTCTTTTTTACATTTTCAAATACATCTTTCCCTAATATGACAATTATTTCCAGGCATAATTTGTCAAGAATACTTAAATATTGCATTTCTCTCTCTCTCTCTCTCTTTCTCACTTTTCCTCACTTTTTTTTTTCTTTTTATTTTATTGTTCTTTAACTTTATTTAAACAGTGTGAATTAGACCAATACTTGCTCTAAAATTTTCAGAATGATGGTATGAAAAAAGGTTTTGATTAAAAAGAGAAAAGGAAGAGAGCTAGAAATATCCAACTTTTAATAGACAGCTTTCTTTTTATAGGAATTTTTGAAAGCAGACATCCTGCAAAGTGCTCCACCATTCTTTCATTGAGCAATAGTCAATTCCCTGAAATTTGATTGAATAGTATGAGCCTGTAATTTTAATCCTAATATTCTTTTTGAAATATATATATATAGTACACATAACCACATGGAGAACCACCATAGCTTCAGCTACAAAAATATCAAAACATTTCATTAATTTTGTAAACATTAATTTCTAAAAGAAAACAAAGAAAGAGAGATTAATGTAGCCTATTGTTAAAAATATTCCCAATAATTCCTATTTCACTGTGTCCAGTCTGGTTCAAACTGCTTTTACTTATGAAGCTTCTTTCTTTCTTTCTTTCTTTCTTTCTTTCTTTCTTTCTTTCTTTCTTTCTTTCTTTCTTTCTTTCTTTCTTCTTTCTTCTTTCTTTCTTTCTTTCTTTCTTTCTTTCTTTCTTCTTTCTTTCTTTCTTTCTTTCTTTCTTTCTTTCTTTCTTTCTTTCTTCTTTCTTTCTTTCTTTTCTTTCTTTCTTTCTTTCTTCTTTCTTTCTTCTTTCTTTCTTTCTTTCCTTCTTTCCTTCTTTCCTTCTTTCCTTCTTTCCTTCTTTCCTTCTTTCCTTCTTTCCTTCTTTCCTTCTTTCCTTCTTTCTTTCCTTCTTTCTTTCCTTCTTTCTTTCCTTCTTTCCTTCTTTCCTTCTTTCCTTCTTTCTTTCCTCCTTCTTTCTTTCTTTCTTTCTTTCTTTCTTTCTTTCTTTCTTTCTTTCTTTCTTTCTTTCTTTCTTTCTTCTTTCTTTCTTTCTTTTCTTTCTTCCTTTCTTTCTTTCTCTTTCTTTCTTTCTTTCTTTCTTTCTTTCTTTCTTTCTTTCTTTCTTTCTTTCTTTCTTCTTTCTTTCTTTCTTTCTTTCTTTCTTTCTTTCTTTCTTTCTCTTCCTTCCTTCCTTCCTTCCTTCCTTCCTTCCTTCCTTCCTTCCTTCCTTCCTTCCTTCCTTCCTTCCTTCCTCTCTTTCTTTCTCTCTCTCTTTTTCTCTCTCTCTTTTTTATTTCTATTTTTTTAAATTTTTTTTTCCTCTCCCATGTGAGATTATTTAAGGTTTATAGATCTAATCAGGATTTTTTTCTGATAAATGTTAAAGTGTAACAATTTTGTGTATATGACCTTTCCCTTCTACTGGGAATAAAGTAAATAAAAGTTTAAGGGAGTTAGACATTCACATCTCTTTACGAATCACTTTGAATCAGATTCTTCTAAATCGCCTAGCCTTAAAATTAAATGTTTGCTTATTATCCCATTTGTTTTATATTGATATTGTCATATGTGAAACAATGCTCTTTCTGCTGCCTAGATTTTGGACTGCCTTTTTACAAGTCATCACAAGCATGATATTTCCATAGTTCATACAAGAAGGCCTAATGCTTTTAGAATAGAAGGAAAAGAATACAACTCAGAGCTGTGCAGCTGTATATGTATAGTTGTCAACTATTTATAGCTGTCCTTTTGCAACAATGAACTTACTGTAAAATGGCAACCAGCTGTTTAGATGCAATATGAGGGAAATTTGTCAAATGACAATTGAATTAAAGGTCATTAACAATTACCATAAATACAAAATTTCTCAGAAGCAACTTCCACTGTTAAGAATGTAGGTAAGATTTTGTGGTAATTTCTATTTTAAAATTTATATTTTGCCTATTTCAGGGTGTGTGATATGCTTTTATTGCTATGACAAAGTAGAAGCAAAAGAAGCAAAAAGTATGCTCAGTTCTGACTATGGTCCAGATTATAGAGAAGTCCTTAGCACCATTTTTAAGGACCTGCTATAATTAATTGCAGGGCAAAAGTCTGTTTTGTGTTTCCTAAACAGATAGTAGAGATTTGATGAAAAGGCATTTTATAACATACATTTTGCCTGATGATGGCATGAATAATGGGTGTTGATTCTAGTTGCAATTGTGTTTAAGAGGAAGCAAATTTATCAGTAAAAGTATGAGGTCAGTTTTCCTGGACATATATAGTTGTAATATTAGACCTAGAAAATAAATATGAATTCTGCAATTGTATACGTTTATTTAGGTCAAGATGTATGTGTATGTTGTAACCTTATATATATATATATCATACATATATATAGATGATGTGGATTTGCTGCTCACAAGAGATACTAGCTTTCAACTTGAAATGGGAAAAGAATAAAAGTCAGAATTAAGGCTGCTTCTGAAATCTGTTGTATTACATTTAAAAGATTAAGTATAAGAATGCTGTGCCTCTATTTTTTATTTTTTCCTTTTTTTTTTTCTTTCAATATTTATGTTTATATCTTTAAACATGTTAAAAGTTAAGGCAGACTGTTGTTCTAACTGCATGTTTTAAAACTAGGATTTTTTATTTTCCTAAGTTCTTTTCAAAGCTCCCTAACTGAAGTGGTTAAATTTCCAAAAGTTTGAATAGCTGTAGCTGAAAATATGAATACTTCTGAAAAGCTGACTTGGAAAAGCAGTGACATTACACTGGATTTGGTGTCCCATATTTTCAGAATTCTCCTTCTGTAATGAAGAGTATTGTTTACTCTTGGACAGTATTTAAGAAGTTTTATAAGTTCACCCCTTAAAGCTGCTAAAGAACACGTATCTAGTTGGACACACAGACTTTTAAACAGCATGCAATTTTGATATGATAAAGTCATTTAGAATTATAAATATCAGTGTTTTATGCTATATTTTTAAAACAGAAGAGTAACAAACTGATTCTTTCATACAGTTTATATCGCAGAAAATTTGCTGCTAAAACTAGTTATTTTTAGTTTTGCTAAAACTAATTATTTTTATAACAACATACAAAACATATACAATGTACTCTGCAGGTTTAATTAGAAATTGCTTCAAAATGTGAACGCGATCTGTTTTGCTTCAAATTTGAAGCAAAAGACTTAACTAGCAATAAGAAGAATTGCTAGTTACACTTGTGAAGTGTAGATACACTTAATAAATCCAAAATAGAAGACTTTTATCTTCTGTTTCTTTCCTAATTCACACAAGTTATCCATGATACACAAACACATCCATTTCACATATGCCTTGATCCTTAATCCATCTGCCTGGCAGATGGCTACCTATTTATTGTTGCTACCATGATTGTTATGTTTCAGATGTGACTTCATACATCTTTTCTGAACTCCTGTATTCCAACCATACAAACAGTAGCAAATATTTCTAATTATTACATGCCTACAAAACAAAACAAAAAACAAGTCACAAAACAAACAAACAAACAAAAAAAAACACAAAGTGAAGCTAAAAAAATTAAATGGGAAGTGGTAGGGAACAAAAAATATCAGGGAGACCAGTCACTTGTGTAAATACTTGTGCAACTTTAAACCTTACCTTGGACCTTCTGCTCCATTAATTGAGCACTGTCTGTGTAACTGATGCTGATACATGAGATGCTGTTGCAAAACTCATAGCTGCTGCGAAGCATAGTGGTGTGATATGAAGTGATGCAGAAAACAGTAGAAGCTCTGTCACTAGGTCAGCTGCAAGATGAAGTGACGTGTGTGAATCTACAGTATATGGGGTTTTGTGAAAGATTCAGTCTCTCTTTCTCCCAAAGAACTTCAGCTGATGATACAAGGAGAATTCAGTTCCCCTTGGCAGGACTCCATGTCGGTCTGGATGCTGTAAATACTTCTGCTTCTACAGTTACTTAGCTCATGCTGCTAAAAATATACTTATGACAGAGTTAATGAAAGTATCTTCTTTTTTAAAACCACTTGTCTACAACAATCATTTAATGTTCTTGTTTGCATGTGTGGTTCTCATTATTCAGGTGTAGCTATTAATACTGATGACAGTTAAAGAGAGAAAATCCAAATATTTTCATACTTGCACTTTTCCAGTAGAATTAAAAACAACAAAATACAGACACATGTCCACAAATAGTATTAATTAATTAATTAATTAATTAATTTATATGTAATTCACAAATTATATTGCAATATATTAAATTGCATTACAGTAGTAAGGGCTTCAGAATCCACATAGATGATGTAATTATGCTTAAAAAATTAGTATTACTGAATAATTCACTTTTGTAATATGCAAAAGTAATTTTTTTTTCTCTCATTTTCAATAACCATCAGTCTTAATATCTAACTAATAAAAAAAAAACATAAACAGTGTCATCTGTCAGGTTGCTAACAGAGAATGCCACTTTTTGGAGCTTCATTGTTTACTTTAGCAGGTAATTTGTGGACCGGAATCATTTAATTGTTTTGAGCACATAATTACATGCCAGCATTTTCCAATTTAATTAAAATGTACAAATCTGAAGATTAAGGGAATTTTTGAATTATTAATCATTTCTCCTCTAGGAAATCTTGTTGCTCTGCAGGAGATTTGTCCAGTGTACAACTATACGTATTTTTTTCCTTCTCTTTCGCAGACAGACAATTTTCCCGCAGAGCCCAATTACATGGGCAGCAGGCAGCAGTTTGTTCAAAGGTAAGGCCTATTAAATAACTTTCTCGGCTTCCCCATTTGCATTCTTGTCAAAATTGCTTTGCCAGAGAGTACAATTCAACTTAGAACAAGTAAATACAACTCTCTCTCTCTCTTTTTCTCTCTCTTTTTAAATATGTATTTCAGTAGCTCCACGTTCAAGGATCCAGAAAGAGCCAGCTTGAGGGACAGCGGGCATGGGGACAGTGATCAGGCTGACAGTGACCAAGACACTAACAAAGGCTCCTGCTGTGACATGTCTGTTAGGGAGGCACTCAAGATGAAAACTACTTCAACTAAAAGCCAGCCACTTGAACAAGGTGAGTGAAGTCTCCAATGCTTACAGAGCGTAAAGTTTAAGCCATCATTATAAACCTATTAGCATTGCAATTGCAGTGTATCAGGGTAGAATAGCCCTCTGATAATACTATCAGAGAAAACAGTAAATCTTGTAGCTAGCCCAGAGCAAAGACATTCAGTATCTTTCAGAATGAACATGAAATGAAACCACAAGTATCCTTTTTTTTTTTTTTTTTTTTTTTTTAAATCCAAAGCAGATTAAAAAAAAAGTACTTTTCTAAAATGATTAGAATATACTTTATCTCCATTGGCATTGCCTGTGATATATTATATACTGTTCTTCAGCCAAAGCGTGATTTGAAAACTGAAACTAGACATGACTGCAACAGATAAAAGAATGAGTCATTTACATTCCACATGTAGTTTGGAGAAGAGGAAAAGGAAAGAGACTTGGGATATCAGACAACAATAAAAATGGATCAGAAGGTGTTTCATTTCATGGATGTAATTTTCCTATTTGTAATGTTGATTTCACAATTAATAGTAACATGAGAACGGTCAAATACTAATTGGATTTTTAGTATAATTTCATTCATTTTCTAGGAAGATATCAAAGATGAGTATCTGTGAAACAGCTCAAATAACATATTTCAGGACAATGACAATAATCTCTGCAAGCCTTCGTTCTGACAAATAAGCATATTTATTTCTTCAAATAGTGCTCAAACAAAGTTTCCTCAGAGATATGTTTTATCTAACTATAAGGTCTTCTATTTCAAAAGAAACAATATTTATTTATTTATTTATTTATTTATTTATTTATTTATTTATTTAGCGTCAGACAACCTGGCCACTCCAGCAGTGTGTGTTTATGCAGTTTACTTCATAACCTATAATCAATAAGGAAGTGTACTACTGAATTATTTTGAAATGTTTTATATCTTTTCTTTAGTTTAGCTTGTGTGGAAGATGATTCAGTGTTAAAGACAGTTAACAGATAATTAAATAAATCAGCCTTAATAAGAAGCTACATTTTTAATTTAGCAGATATACATTATAAGCTTTTTATTAATTGTTGATTAATTGGAACTAGATTTTTTGTCACTAGCCTAGTCTGATCTGTTGTACAATCATGAGGAATACATGTTCAACTTTTTTTTTGTTTTGTTATGTTGAGATTGCAATATATTTTTTGCTGTGTATTTAGAATACTACAGTATAATTTATTCAGTATGTACTTGAGGGTAGACCTCACATATGACCTTATTTTCCAAGTAATAAATGCCAGAAAGATTATTTTTTCCCGACCTTTTGCCACAGCAACTCTCTGCTTATAATTGGACATTGATCTGTATAAAGATGCAATACTAGACTTTTTTTTTTTTTTTTTTAAGAAGCTCTTTGAATGTTTATCTAAATTTCTCAGTTTTGTATCTCCCTGAATATCTATCCATAAAGCAATAAATTACAGCAATGAAAGCATGAAGTTCTAAAATCCAAAAAGTTTAATTAGGAAAATAATTTACAATACACTATATATTTTTTTAATTATTATTTATATTATTTTAGAAAAATGCTGTATAGCTAGAGTTCAATTTTTACTGAAGTTTGTTCAACAGCATAAAGCCTAATACTGCTCAAAATATAAGAGCACTAGTCAGCATATTAAGCCAACCACTCCTATTATTTATTTTCGTTATGACACAGAGTTATATGTGCTATATGAGTTTATGGAGGTTTACACTTACCATTATATCTATATAAGCAGTCCCATTCATCAAGAAACATCTCATATCGGTGGCTTATATTAATTTCTCACATTCTCATTAAACATACACTGAACTATGTGCTAAGTACTGTCAGCCACTGAGTTGTAGCAGCAGGTGTTCATGTGATTCTTTTTATTGAGAAAAAGTATGAGCATTGAGAGATAAACTAACTTTTTCTTTCTTTCTTTCTTTTTTTTTCTTCTTTTTTCCCAAATGTAATTACAAATGCCAATGACATCCATTTGTTTACTTGTATGTACTCTTCCATCTCAAATGTAAGGTAATAAAGTCATTGGCATATTATGAAAACTGAACATGCAGTAAGAACTTTATGGGGGTTACAGATCATTATTGTAACAAATGCAGCACAATGTGTTTTTTTCAATGAAATCAATGATTACTTGTCATTGAGCATAGTATGATTAGGGCTTTTAGTCCAATGTAACTTCTCTCTTTTGAAAGATAATGAACAAAATTGCTTTTTCTAGTCATTAGCCTAGCCTAGCCTAGCCATTTGCCATGTTGACAGAGGGTGAGAAATATGTTTGTGGGTAGAAAAAAGATGGCATTTTCTTCAGAGAAAAATTGTTCTCTAGGAAAAGGAGATGGACAGCTTGCTAGAAACAATTTTATAGAGTAGCACCTGAAGCAGTATCAGAAGTAGTGATTCTGTCATCTTTCTGGGTTGTGCTGAGGGATGGGAATTCACTGTTTTGTAGCAAAGTTTCTGGCTTGATTATTGTAATTTAAAGATATCTAAAATGGTTTAACTTTTGCAGTTAGAACAGTGACATTTTTGAAAAATAAACAGTCTTAACAGTCAAGTCAGGATCTAGATTTCATATTCCTAATTTAACAAGTGAGTTAAGTTTGAGTTTGAGAAGCTACATCTTCTGTATGTAGTTGGCACTATTGTAATTATTCCAATTTCACCCAGGGCAATAATAAGAATCTTAGCAGTACTAGTATTTTAACTACAAGTTTAAGCAAATCTTGCTTAGGCAGCTTGAAAATCAGTAATGGAGAAATAAGACAGTATATGAAAAAATAATTTGTATAAATGGCATATGATTTTGGTATGCAATGGGAGGCAAACTCATTTTATGAGTTTCATTAAAATAGTGAAAGCAATGTAAAACCTCAAAAACTTTGCTATTAAAATATTTGATTTCAAGGAAAATATTTCTAAATAGCAAGTTTTGTCTAATGGTGATCATAAACATTAACACAAATGAGAAAGTTCACCAATCAGCTATCATTATGAAATGCTTCTGGAAGCTCTTCACTTGGCCTTAATGGAAAGAAAGGGGTGGAGGGTGAGGAGGTGTGTGTGTGGGAGGACAACCCTTTAAATGTTACATTTAAATATTACAAGACAGTTAGTCTTGTGTTGAAATAAGTATGCCTCTTTTAAGTTATTTCAGTTAAGTATCTCTCCCTCCCCCCCCCGTAAATTCCAAGCAATTTTCTGCATAAAAATATCTGTTTCTGATCAGCTTACTTATGCTGATTCAGTTGTCTTACTAAGCAGCTTGTTGTGTCTGTTACTTTTTCAGTAGAATAGTTTTAGACAAGTTTGTTTTGTTTAACTTTTTTTTTTCTGTTTTCTTTCTGAGACTTTAAAACCCACCACTAATTCAGACAGTTTGAGATCACCCTACTTATAAATCTTACAAGAATTATTAGTTTTGAATATCTGTTATATAAAAATTGCTGTTACACCTGATGTATTATCTATTATTCACACTATTATTCACTATTATTCACATTTGATGATTAACTGAGTAATATTTTTCTTTGCTGTTGTTTGTGCATGCATAGCAGCAAAAATCTGTGTTCCTTGAAAAGATATCCAAAGCTAAAAATTACAATATGATATCTACAGGGATGCAGTACAGAAAAAAAAGCATTTTATACTTTTCTTAGTAAATCCTGAATATGTTTATCTGATAATGATAATTTTACTGATGCAAAACTAGAGATGTGGAGGTTTCTTGCAGTTGCTTATATATTGTCTTAGATTTTCATCAGTATTTCTTCCTTACTTTTTTTTTTTCTCTTTTACCTTTTTTACCTCTCTCTTTCTTCTTCCACTTCTTTAACATATATATGAATTCAGCAGCTTTGGTTTTGTTTTTTTTTTTTTGCTTTATCACTGCATCACATCCTGCTTTCAGAACATTTGCTTGCTGTTCACTACATCCCGTAGAGAGGGTATTTCTGCATGTGCTGTTACCTGTTTAACAGTAGCACAATCATGAGAATAAAGGAAAACCAGAGACATCTCCATGGAGAAAGACTGAAAGAAAGCTTCAGCATTGGAGTCAGAGACTCCTCTAGAACCTGTATTGCTTATCAGGTTTCTCTGTAGGACTGCATGCTTTTAATCTAAGACATAAGTGACTAGGATAAAAGGGCTGGAGTGAATCTTCAGGAAAAAAAAGTGAGATATTAAATATCACGCAAAAATATAATTTTATTTTTCTGTTGTCACAACAAAACAACAACATGCATTACAATTGATGCTTCCCTGCATGCAGCAGTCTAATCAGTGTTTTAGCATATTTGTGAGTACTGTCAACTCAAGTTTGTCCACTGAACTTGTTAATGGAACAAAACTCAAGAAATTTGTGCATTTATATTCTCAATTTCTAAAAAAAGAAAGGTCTCTGAAATCTCGTATCATGCATTATCCATCTGCAGTGGAATAGAAATTACCAGATTTTTTAGCAATATATATACATGTATATATTTTTTTCTGAAATATTAATTGATTTTCTTGTTATAATGCTTTAGTGTTAGGATAACTAATATTCATTCTGTTTAACTAAATGAGAATTAGTCTAGACTGATAAGTGAGGAAAGTTCAACAATCAAATTTCTGCTGTCATCAATTCTTTCTCTGCCATTGGGGACGATGAGTTCTTTTATGAGTACATCAATTTAAAGAGGTAATGGAAAAGAAGACTAGAGAAATATTTGTTTACCGAGTTCTCAGAGCTAGTGAAAGACTATGCTGAGAAACTGACTGAGGCTGGGAGTGCCCCCAGAGCTGACACAACCTGTGAGATATTCAGCATTAGTTCCTCACAGTAGTGTTTTTTCTTCTGGACAGAATATCTCTTATCGCATTCTCTCTGTACTTAGAATGTGAACAGCTGTCAGACTGCACCACTAGGAGTCTTTATGTCGCCTAGGAGTCTTTATGTCCAGGACCCTTCCAACTCAGTTATCCCTAATAATCTCAGGTA